AGAGACGGGGTTTCACCATGCTGACCAGGATGGTCTCGATCTCTTGACCTCGTGATCCACCCGCCTCGGCCTCCCAAAGTGCTGGGATTACAGGCGTGAGCCACCGCGCCCGGCCTCAAAAAACTTTTAAGTGCAGCGGGGGGTGGTGGCTGACGCCTGTAATCCCAGTGCTTTGGGAGGCCAAGGCAGGTGGAGCATGAGGTCAGGAGTTCGAGACCAGTCTGGCTAAAATGGTGAAACCCCGTCTCCATTAAAAGTACAAACATTAGCCGAGTGTGGTGGCACATGCCTGTAGTCCGAGCTACTCGGGAGGCTGAGGCAGGAAAATCGCTTGAACCAGGGAGTCGGAGATTGCAGTAAGCCGAGACCATGCCACTGCACACCAGCCTGGGCAACAGAGCAAGACTCCATCTAAAAATAAAAAAAGGATGGATGTGGTAGCTCACCCCTATAATCCCAGCACTTTGGGAGGCTGAGGTGGGTAGATCACAAGGTCAAGAGATTGAGACCATCCTGGCCAACATGGTGAAACCTCATCTTTATTAAAAATACAAAAATTAGCCAGGCATGGTGGCACATGCCTATAGTCCCAGCTACTCAGGAGGCTGAGGCAAGAGAATCGCTTGAACCTGGGAGGAGATTTCAGTGAGCGGAGATTGTGCCACTGCACTCCAGCCTGGTGACTGAGCAAGACTCCATTTCAACAAACAAAAAAAAAAACTTTTAAGTAATTAGTGAATACTTCATATGTGCTAGATATTATAAGTGATACAACATTTTAAAATTCTAGACACTGATTCCTATGCACTATTCAGTCCAGTAGGACATTCTGCAAGCTTCATGGGGATTATTATTACTAGAGTTAATATATACATACATTACACCTTTCAAAGCCACTGCTGTGTAAGTAGCTTTAGGGGCAGCAGCCGAGAATGTTAAGAAGCGCACAGGCTTGGGTATCTGGATGCCTTACATTAGCAAACTACCAGAATCACTAATCTTCAATTTCTTCATCTGAATAATGTGATAATACTTCAAAGGATTGTTGTGAGAATTAAATATGATGGTGGATATAAAAGCCCAAGGTATTGCTTAGCATAGAGTAGACACTCAATAAATGAAGGTTGAAGGTTATTTCCCTTTGGTCTCTTTTTTTAACAGTGTGTCAGGTTTTTCCTAAAAAATGGGGATTTCACGTACTTGTTCAAATAGCTATAAGAAAAGGCTGTAGGGTTTTGCAAACCCTGTTTCAAGTCAGCTTAGGCACCAATCACTGCTTGGCCTCTTTAATGTTGAAAGTTTCCAACTCAGAAGACCCAGATATAATTCTTAGCCTCCTAATATCAGTCATTAGAGCGTTTTACCCTTCTGGAAAGATTTAGAGAGCTCTATAGAGAAAGCTCTATAGAGAAAGTTACAATACCTGCCTTCGGAGTTTGAAATGAAATTCACAACAATAAAACATCAAAATTTGTATTTATTTTCCAAAGGAATTGAGGTACTTTTCAATATTTAAAAATATAAAACAGTATAATTGTATGTATGCATTAGTGATGAACTCTTGATGGGAGAAAGGGGTACAATCTTTCTGGAAGATCACTTGGCAGTAAATATAAAAAGATTTTCGAATACCCATGCTCTGTCCCAGCAATTCCACTTCTTGGAATTTATACCAAGGACCTGTGCCAACATATATGCACAGAATGAGTGATGGTGGTAGGCACAGAATGAGTGACGGCGGTAGGCACAGAGACGTCCCATAGGAGCTTCATAGGAGGATTTGCTTCACAGGAGGACTTGCTACCCAGCAATGGAGAGTGTGGTCAACAGATACCCCCAGCTATCAGCCCCTTCAGGGTTGGCCTCAGCTGCAGAGTACAGCCTCACCTGAGGTCCCTCCCCTCCCAGGGCAGCCCTCATCTGGTCAATGAATGGCTTAAGATTATAAAAACCCAGCCATTTCCACCCAATGAGACGACACTGGGGTCTGCTGTAGACCCTGGGGTTTGCTGAGGCTGCGGGACTGTACCACAGTTCACCTTCTCCCTCGTGCATCCCTGCTCCTTCCCTCTTCCCTTCACAGGGATCCAGCCCTAGTTAATATCTTACACCACCAATGCCATTTCTGTCAGCTTCTGAAGACTCAACTTGTGATGGCATTAAGCATGACTTGTTAAGAATGAGAAGCCCAGCCGGGCGCAGTGGCACATTCCTGTAATCCCAGCACTTTGGGAGGCCGAGGTGGGTAGATCATGAGATCAGGAGGTCAAGATGATCCTGGCCAACATGGTGAAACCCCAGCTCTACTAAAAATACAAAAATTAGCCAGACGTGGAGGCCAGACGTGGAGGATTACATGCCTGTAATCCCAGCTACTTGGGAGGCTGAAGCAGGAGAATCGAACCAGGCAGTCAGAGTTTGCAGTGAGCCAAGATCGCACCACTGCACTTCAGCCTGGTGATAGAAGGAGACTATATTCAAAAAAAAAAAAAAAAGAATGAGAATCCCAAAGCTACCAAAAGCCCCAACAATAGAGATAGTGGAGTAAAGTATGGCTCCTCCATAGAGTGAGATATTGTGCAGTCATTAACAATGTAAACGGAGGCCAGGCACAGTGGCTCATACCTGTAATCCCAGCGCTTTGGGAGGCCAAGGTGGGTGGATTGCTAAAGCTCAGCAGTTCAAGACAAGCCTGGGCAACATGGTGAAAATCCATCTCTACTAAAAATACAAAAATTAGCTGGACATGATGGTGCACGCCTGTAATCCCAGCCACTTGGCAGACTGAGGCATGAGAATTGCTTGAACCCAGGAAGCAGAGATTACAGTGAGCCGAGACAGCACCACTGCCCTCCAGCATGAGCAACAGAGAGATTCTGTCTCAAACAGAAAGAATAGAAAAGAAAAAAATGTAAAAGGACATTCCGTGGCACAGGGAAATAATTAAAATATATTGCAAAGTGAAACAAAGGCAGTGTATAAGGCACCTTTGTTTGGGTTTGTATTTTTAAATGTATAATTTTGGCCACATAGAAGAATTTGAGGAAAACATCACTAAACTTTTAACAGTGGCCATTTCTT